TTTTGTTAAAATTTCTACGTCGTAAATCACATGTAACAAAAGATAAAATACTTGTTTTGAAATTAATATTCAACATGACTATAATTAAATTCTGTTTTTAGTCATTCAACTCTAGCTCTTACTGAGTTGTATAATTATACTAACACTTCTTTTTTTTTATTGGTCCCATTTATATTTTGTAACCAACGCAACGTTTCATCACTCGTCTCCTTTTGTTTCTTCCCAACTGAAACAAAAAAATAGTCGAGGTTTCTTAGTCATTCCGACCGTCTATAACAGCAACAGAATTAAAAAAGTGCTTGAAGTAGACGATAACATTTTTATCTTCACCTACTTTTAAAAATGTTGCACTTTTCTGTTCTTCTCTTTCTCAATCTGCCGAAGCATTTCATTTTTAGTTATTCTGTGTCTAGACACCTGTTATATAGTGCATCACTTCTGCCCTCTTCAGTTCAACTATTATACATATGCTCTTGTTATTTTCTTTTTCTATTCATCTGTTGTACGTATGCTCTTTTTCGCGTTACTCACTTTTCCTAACTGCCATCCTTGTTGAGTAATAAGAACCATTGTCTTAATTCTTTCTATTGTTCATTTTCTAAACAGACGGACGAAGCTTCTCGACTTCTTCTCTAGTCCGTTTCTGTCCTATGTATATGTACTTGCTGTTTTCTTCAATAAAGGGATCAGATATTCATTCATCCAAAAAGTGATATATATGTAACTACGCCATACAGGTTATTTTTACACCGTATGGCGCGTTTTTTAGGTATCAGTGGGAAAATAAATCGTGTATTTTTTTCTACTTCATCAATCGTTCAAACTGTAACAAAACCATCAGTTTTACTTGTCAATCATGGTTATCCACCATTATTCAATGCAGGCTCAGAGGTAAAACTAATGTTTTTTTTTTTTTATTGAAAGTTGTAAAAGAAAAATTTAGGTTTACACACAAACATTGGCTGTTCGATTAAATCGATCAAGAAAAACATCAGCAGTTTCGATTATTGCACGTGAACAAGATCCATTTCGTGCTGATTTTCTTGTTCGACAGACACAAGATGAACATGATTCAACTATACCAATATTTTTAATTAATCATGCACGAGAAGCACCATATCAACGATTTATTAATACTGATATTGATCATTGTTTCAAAAATCTATGTCAAAATCTCGATCCAAAACCAAATATTGTTCATTTTGGACATTTAAATCATTTATCATTAACATTACCACAATGTGCAAAAGATATTTTGAATGCAAAAATTATTTATACACTACATGATTATTGGCTTATGTGTCCACGAGGTCAATTTTTAATTAATGGTGTTGCTTCAACATTTACTAATCAAGAACCTTATGAATTGTGTACAGGACAAGAAGATAAGAAATGTGCTTCGAAATGTTTTACATCACGTTTTGCTACAGGTATGAAATCATGATTTCATAGAAATATTTATATGAGAGTTGTCAGAGTGTCGATCATTCTTTCGTACATGACTCTTGATACTTCTATCATAATTAATTTTTGTCCGATTATGTGGAACAGTACTAATGTATTCAAAAACATCTCGATAAATATTGTTAACGATTTATTTCTTTACTTTCAACCCCTATTTTGTACAAAAGATTGTCGTTATACTATCTGCCATGGAAATAAATTAAGTAAACAATGAAAACTAGAAACATCCATCGAATAGGTTCGACCTGTAGACCAGGCTGATAAAAGTGTCTTCTTGAAAATTCTGATTTATATTTATCTATTAGGAACTACAACAAACAAGGATCGTGAAATGGATTATTGGACATGGTGGATCAATGAACGAATGCGTACAGTACGACAGGCATGTGATACAATTGATATGTTCATTGCACCATCACTTCATTTACAAAAACGATTTATCAATGAATTTGGTCTTCCACCTGAAAAAGTTAAATATTTACCATATGGTTTTGATCGATCAATATTAATAAATCGTCAACGTATTCGTTCATTGAATGATCCTCTGGTATTTGGATACATTGGTCGACATTCACCATCGAAAGGTATCAATTTATTATTAGAAGCTGCACAACAAATAGTTCAAACTCATCCAGAATTAGTTAATCGATTTCATATTATTATTTATGGTCGACCAGATTCTACAACAACAAGTTATCTTCAAACAATGGCTAAAACAGCTGGAATTTCTATTGAATGGCGCTCAGAATATAAAAATTCTGACATTGTCGCACGTGTTTTTAATCATGTAGATTATATTGTAGTTCCATCAATTTGGAATGAAAATTCTCCATTAGTTATTCATGAAGCACAACAATGTCGTATACCTGTTATTACTGCTAATCAAGGTGGCATGGTAAGAATTTTTAAAATTGATAGATATTTTCCAAAAAAAGAAAAAGAAAACATTTTATATTCTATTTAGAATGAATTAGTTAAAGATGGAGTTAATGGATTAATATTCACACATCGTAATGTATCATCACTTGCACAAGTTATACTTCGAGCTATTCAACAACCAGATTTACTTGATAAATTAAGTCAATATGGTTATCTTTACTCAGATGATGGACAAGTACCATCAATTGAATCACATGTTGATCAATTAATTGATTTATATTCAACATTAACAAAACGTCATATTAAAGAACAAGTAAATCTTCAACCAAAACCTATTGAATCATTATCAGCTCCACGTCGAATAACATTTGATACAAATCCAGATGATTGTAATTTTAGTTGTATTATGTGTGAACAACATTCAGAACATTCACCACATCAAAAAGCACGTAAAGAAGCAAAAATTCGACGTCGTAGAATGGATTTTGATATAATAAAACAAGTTGTTGCTGAGACAGCTTCACTTGGATTACAAGAAATTGTAAGAATATTTATTTATTATTTTTATTTTCGAATATATTTACTAGATTCCATCAACAATGGGTGAACCACTTATGTATCGAGATGCAAAAGGTCGTACATTTGAAGATATTATCAAACTATGTCGAGATTATAATATTAAATTAAATCTAACAACAAATGGATCGTTTTTTTCACCACAAGGCCATTCTGGTATATAATATGTGAAGTAAAAATAATGAAACAAATGTCGACCTCTGTTTTCTTCCTTCGAATCGTATATAATTTTATTTTTGCTAAAGTTTTATAAGCTAAATGATGTAACAGGAAAGAGAAGTAACCTCATAATGAGTTCGCCTTTTTTCATAATTATATATTTGAAACTTCTTTCGATCATGCGCAAACAATCAAATCATGATCTTAAACAAGATAATTATTCACTTAATGTGATAGACTTTTCATCGTTTAAAATAATATAACAATCGCAATAGATTATTTTGTACAACGTCTTGCAGTTCTTTCTGGTTCTCTTTTTCTTTATAGCTTTTTGAAGATGACTTAAACATATTAACATTATTAAGCTATATACGCTTCGAAAGAGAGATTATATACGATTCAAAGGAGAACAAATTTTCTTTCAGCACACTTCTATCGAAATGAAATAGTGGCTGATATCAGTCTGATGACTTTTGCATCACATATTATTTCACTAACGAATTTCTGTTAATAATAATTTCTATTATTTTTTAGTTGCGGAATGGGCTCATCTTCTCATGCCAGTTTTAAGTGATATTAAATTTTCTTGGAATGGTAGTACAAAAACGACTCAAGAATTAGTTATGAAAAACTCTAAACTTGATAAACAGGTATATGCTCATATTTGGAGATGTAGTGGCTCAAAAAAAAGTTATGATAAAAATTTAGTTTCAATTTCGTTCTGTAAGAATAAGTTGCATAAAGAATCTCAAGCTTCCAACAAAAATTCGGCGAATATAAAATCTTCATAACATCTTCAAAACCTAGATTTTCAGTACACAAAATCTGAAAATAAAACTTTTGATTTTGAATACTCTAGGCTTTTCACGAGACATTTTGATTGAATTACATAAATTTTTAGAGAAGTCCAAAAATCAAAATTTTCGACATTTTTTAGTATGGATGTAATCTGTCAGAGAATATCGTACAGAGATGTATCATTTTCTAGAGAATTAGTTGTCCTATGAGACAACATCAAACTTTTATTTTCCGATTGTGTATGTTGATAAATTAGGTTTTCGAGTTTTCTAGGGGAATATTATTATATTCTATCGAAAAAAGAATCGAAATCAATTTTTAGAGCTACTGTAAATATTTCATTTAAATATATTTATAGTTAAAAAATCTAATTGAATTCATTCGTATACGTGATGAATTCGCAGACAAAGGTAATAATCGAGTTTCAGTTACATTACAACTTACATTCATGGAAATTAATTTACCTGAAATACCTGAAGTAAATATAATTCTTATTTTGATATATAGATATATATTGCAATAAGATTTATTTAGATTGTCAAATTAGGAATATCGTTAGGTGTTGATCGTATTAAAGGTCATCATTTATGGGCTCATTTTAAACAAATAAAAGACCAAAATTTACGTCGATCACCAGAATCTATTCGTCGATGGAATCAATGTGTTATTGAATGTCAAAATATTGCTCGTCAAAATTTTCTACCAACAGGAAAACAAGTAAGATTCTTTGAACAAAAAGAAAAAATATTCAATTCAAATTTTCTAGATCAAACTTGAAAATTTCTTTGAACTAAATGAACATAGTGGTTCATATACAATTCATCCGCAGAGTGTATGTCCATTTCTAGGTAAAGAAGCATGGATAAATCATAGTGGAAATTTCAATCCTTGTTGTGCGCCTGATCAAGAACGATTATCACTAGGTACATTTGGTAATGTTCAAAATTCGAATGAAACTCTAATGAAAATTTGGACAAGTGATACATATAAAAATTTAATTAATAATTATACAAAATATTCACTCTGTCAAAATTGTAATATGAGAAAACCACCTGAATTAAAATAAAATGATTTAATAAATTTCATTTTGATTTTCTTTTTTTTGAACGTAATATTTATTCTAGATGTTGTTTAATCGATTTCAACAATTAAATCTTGTGAAAAATATAATTCATCGAAAGAAATGGACACATTCACGAGTTTCATCATGTGGTACATATCATATTTGTTTAAATACTCAACAACCACTTTATCATTATCGATTTAAAAATGTTCTACCATTTCATTCACCTGGTTTAGCACCAGTTATTGATCGAACTAAAGCAGCATATCATATCAATGAACATGGTGAAAATGTTTATTCACAACGTTTTCATCGTACATTTGGTTTCTATGAAGATCTTGCTGCTGTACAGGTTTGTTAGATATAATAAAATAAAATATAAAATTAATGTTACATATTCTTAGAAAGATGATCATTGGTATCATATTACAGCACAAGGTTCTCCTGCGTATAAATCTGTATGGCAATGGTGTGGTAATTTTCAGTCATATCGATGTCCTGTTCGAGACTTTGATTTAAAATATTATCATATTAATCCTAAGGGACAAATTATTTCAGGTCCTCATTCATATGCTGGTGATTTTCGAGAAGTACAATATTTATTTTTCTTTTTACATATTTATATGTGTATTATTGATTTTTGAATGTTAGGGTAGTGCTGTTGTTCGTAGTATAGTTGACGGTCTTTTTCGTGCTATTAATGAGAATGGTGATTTACTTCATTCATCATCGAAGAAAACAAGTTTTTTCGATCTTGATGTTTATCATAAAGGTCTAGCACGAGTACGAGATGAAAATGGTTGGTTTTTTATTAATCGTGCTGGTGTTGATATTGGACAAGGTCGTCGATATCGTCAAATTGAAAATTTTTATAATGGCCAAGCACTTGTTCAATTATTTCATGATGGATCAAGATGTATTATCGATGAACAACATCGTATATTAGCTCGATTACATAATTGTCAGGATGAAAATCGTGCTGATATTGAGCAAGTAAATCAATTTTCTATGAAACACAATTGATGATTTAAAACATTGAGTATTAGATTTTAAAACGCTGAAAAACATCATCTTCGGTGTTTTTCATTTCGACCTTCTTCCTTTCGCTATTATTCTAAGCTTCTACATTACTTTTTTTTTGACGTTTTATACTAAGTCGTGATTTAGCAATAGTAGCTACATCGCGTTTCATGTTTTAATCCAACAGAAATTGTTCTAACAGTTGTTTTTATCATAGATTTCAAAAAATTATTGGTCATCCTTTGCACTTAAAATGGGTTTAGATCAAAAAATTAGTTTACTTGAAGAAGATCATCAATCTAACAATCATGATTATCATTTAAGAGAACAAATTCGTCGAGTATGGAGTGAATTTGGTTTTCTTGAATTATCGCCTAACAATAAGACTTATACTATAACAGATCGAGGTCGTCTTCTTTTTGATTCAGATAGTATTACTCGTGATCGTGCTGTTTATTGGTTATTAGATCGACATATATCAGCTTGGTTGTCAACTTTTAGTTTTCAAAAACAACATATTTCAAAAATTGATTTGTTTTCTGATATTGCTAAATCACCAGATCTTGTTGCTTTGACACAAAGAGTATTGAATTCATATGCTGATCAAGATTGGCATGGTATTATATCTGTAATTCCAAATGAATTATTTCAATCATCTACTATTGTCGATCTTGGTGGTGGAATTGGTTCTTTGCTACGTGAATTATCAAAGCATTGTTCTAAACAACGTTTAATCTGTATTGATCGTTCTGAAGTTATTCGTTTAGCACCATATCATCCACAAATTGAATTTTTAAGTGGAGACTTATTTTCTGGTTTTTTACCTTCAGCTGATTTTTATTTTTTATCTCGAGTACTTCACGATTGGCCTGCTGAGAAAGTTAAAATAATTTTGAATCATATTCCAGCAAAATATCTCTGCATAATCGAACGTGAAGTTGATTTAAATATTAATCGACATGCTCTTTTATCATTACATATGTTCTTATTACACGATGCTAAAGAACGAACTCGTCAAGAATGGGATAATCTATTTTCAACAACTGGTTGGTCTGTTCAATCACGTACACCATTTTCAGGTCATGTAGTTACTCTATTGAAAAAAGATAGACCTATTGAACATATATTACCATCAATAGTTAATTGTCGAAAAAATTTTGTACGTAAAGTTGTTATTCCTATTGCTGGACTTGGTATACGAATGCGTCCTCAAAGTACAATTTTACCAAAAGCTTTTTTACCTATTGTACAATCAGATTCTATTGCATGGAAATGTCGTCCAGTAGTTGATCTTCTTCTTGAACAAATCTTTACTAAAGGAACTGATATCGAACAAGTTTTATTTGTCATTGCACCTGAACAATTAGATTTATTTCAATCATATTTTTCATCTTATCCTCATCAAAATATCGATTATATTTTACAACAATCACCAAAAGGCTTTGGTCATGCTATTCTACAAGCTGAACAATATGTTGATAATGAACCATTTGTTGTTATGTTAAGTGATCATCTTTATCAATCGAATAGCAATAATAATCAATCATGTTTACAGCAATTACTCAATGCATATCGACAGAACATTTCAAATCAATCTATTATGGGTATTACAGGTGTAATGACCTGTTCTTTAGAAGAAGTTTCAGAAACTGGTCTATTACAATCGAATATAGATATGAAGAATAAACAATTTTTTGAGATAACAGATATGATAGAGAAACCTTCAATTGAAATAGCACTTAATCGTTTTCAATCTCGAATATTTGACAATCGTTTTTTATGTCAAGCTGGTATCGATATTTTACCATCGACAATTTTTGATCAACTTGAACAATATGAACAAAAATTGAAACAAGAAAACATAACTTCAGAACTTGGTTTACGTGAAGCAATGAATAATCTTCGACAAAATGGACAATTACGTGGTTGTCTATTAGATGGTCAACGATACGATATTGGTAATCCAAAAGAATATTATCGTACATTTCGTGCATTTACTTTTGAGAAAAAAAGACCATTACAACAAAAGTCTCATATATCCAAAGCTTGGCCATTAGTACAACACATCGATAAATTACGAACATTATTCTCAATATCTAAGAAACCAATATATAGCGCTAGTTCACCTGGTCGTCTGGATGTAATGGGAGGTTTGATAATATAAAGAAAAAAAACAAAAACTTTATTTGATACAAGTGTTCTTTTATTCTACTTGAAGGTTTTGCTGACTATTCAGGTTGTCATGTACTTCAATATCCAATTGCACAAACTACTCATGCGTTTGTTCAAGTTTCTAATATAAATACAGTTCGTATGATTAGTATTCAAACAGATCGAATTGACATTGATTCAATCAATGAAAATGATTTAATCATATGGGATCGTGAAATTCCAATGAACTTACTCTTAGACCGTAATTATACATTACGAAAAAGATTAGAAACATGGTATAATCAACAACAACACAATACTTTATGCTCATCTGATGAACCTATGAATTGGCCAAATTATATACTAGGTATTTTATCTCAATTGATAGATAAAATGGATAAAACATCAATTCCAATCGGTTTCAATGTAATTATCATTTCTGATGTACCATGTAATAAAGGTGTAGCTTCATCGGCTGCTCTTGAAGTTGCTGTTGCTCGTGCAGGTAATTCTAGAAACGTAGATTACGATTCGAATTAACAAAAGTTAGATGTGAAAGTAATGAGAAAAAAAACTATTGATCCGTATATCTCTTCAATCAATAGATTCTGAAAAGAATATCCTTTTTTTATCAATTGATAGGATATTTTCTCCTCTTTCAAACAGTCTATGATTTATATTTGTTACACATCGGTAAAAGCGATGACGCCATAGAAACATTCGCGATATAAATATATGATTTTGACATGAACTCATCAAAAGCATCTTGTAGATGATAGTTAACCATGATTAAGTGTCATTTTACACTCCTTTTTTAATGAGTTCATGAAAGTTATCACAGAGATATAGGGATCAACATTTTGCAACATTTTTCTGAACATCACAAAAAGTGTGGATTCGTTTTAAGTGTGTTTATGAACTTGTTATAAAACTAAGTTATATACGACTCGAAAGAGGAGAAATAAGGATTGACCTTTTGCATCATTTCTTGTGCATTGTATGTCATTAATAGTGTTTTGATTTTTTAGCAAGTGCATGTTTAAATCTTGATAATATCATATCGAATACTGAACTAGCTCTACTTTGCCAATATGTTGAAAATCATATTGTTGGTAGTTCATGTGGATTTATGGATCAAATGACATGTGTTCATGCATGCGCTGACCATCTATTTTCACTTCTTTGTCAACATACACCAAATCCACCATTTCATAATGTCGCATTACCTGTAAATGCTCAATTATTTGGTATTGATTCTGGTGTTAAACGATCAACAGCTAGTTCTGCTTATCGTCGTATACGTACAGCTACTTTTATGGGTAAAAAGTTAATGAATCTACCAGATAATATTCATCATCTATGTCAAATATCACTTTCAAAATTTAATAATCAATATCGAATGTCTTTACCAGAAAAAATGTCTGGTAGTGATTTTATATCATCATCGCATCTTGATCCATTAACTTCAGTAGATTCTAATGAAATTTATTCATTACGTGCTGCAACTGCTCATCCTATTGAAGAAAATTTTCGTGTCCAATTATTCGAACAATTATTAAACCATGATCATCATTTATCTATTGATAATTTTTCTAGTCTTGGAGAATTGATGTTTCAATCTGATGCTGGTTATACATCATGTGATCTTAATAGCGAAGAAACACAATTACTCGTTCATTTAATACGACAAGATAAATCATCAACGAATGTTCTTTTCGGTGCAAAAATCACTGGTGGTGGTGGAGGAGGCACAGTTGCTGTACTCGCTTACAATTCATCGGAAGCTGTTGAAGCAATACAAAATATTGTTAATCAATATGAGAAAATTACTGGACGACGAACTCGAATTTTTTCAGGTTCATCCTCAGGTCTTGTTGCATATCCATCTATGACAATTCAAATGTAGATTTTAGTCATTTTTTAATAAAATATTATTAAAAAGAATCTAAAATTGAAACGCTTGCTCACTGAAATGCTTTATGAAACTTGATATTATTATAGCAATTAACTTCGAGAAGTTGCGGCATTTATCATAGTTTAATCGATTGATGTATGACAATCGCTGCGACATAACTCAACTACATCTAGATAGTTGAAATAATTCAAGAGAGTGCGTGTGGGTGTTGGCAGATCTGTTTATCAGAAGAGAAGACACCCACACATATTCCTATCGTATTCGACCAACGTAAACGGGCATATACCATCGCTTGCCATTGTATTAGTATGAGATTTAGATACTGATTGCTTTTGCATTTAAATTAAGACTAGTCGTTTATCATCTTGATGCTGATCTTTTTTAAAACTTTCTCTTCCTGGCTTTGTTCTTCGTGAGTGAATAGATACCAGTGAAAAAATATCGAATACCATAGTCAACATATCTCGTACATCTGGCTAGAAACATAACATTGTAGAAAAGAACATGTAGAATACCTAGAAAACAAGAACATCGTAAAAAATATCTATTTAAATGGTAAGTCATCATTTTTTCAAACAAAAACATGAGATAACAAAATATCTTTATATATCTCAAGGAAATAACATATAGAAATATGTCCACACTATATCTTACCCTTACACGCCAGCATTGAAAGGTCTTATTCTATCACAGGTGTAATAACAGATCATTAGTTAATTGTCTATAATTACCCTTGTAAATTTTTATAAAAGACATTTCGAAAGCCCATCTTTTGACTCTAGTAGCTCAGCTTATTTACATGCGTTAAAACAAATATGAAACTATCTTTCAACTACCAAATATTTCAGCCGAACAAAATCTCTCATTAGAAGAAATTGAAAAAAAGAACTGGAAACGTGCAGAAAAAGGAAGAAATCGACAGATAATGAAGGGTTGTCCATTTTCTTATTCCATCAATTTTCAGCCGAATACCTTCAAATTATGACTATAGCATATAAAATTTTCTTGTACACACCTAGTATATCATACTTTTGTTGAAGACATAGCCACCTTCATATCTGGGTGTTCTGAAGAACCGCTTCTCTGAAAACATTGTTGAACTAGAAAAGCAGGCTCAAATGACAATGAATATATTCCCTAATATTTAGATGAGAACTTCTAGTATAAATTAATAAAAAATAAAGCTTTACTTATTCATGATATTTTAGCATCATAATATCCTAGAGTGAAATATGAAGGTGTAAATATTGTGTTTCTTAAGCGTTTAAGTATTTGGGGCTCGATATGGCGACTAAACTCGGCTAGAGCTTTAAATCATATATTTTTGAAAGAAGATAAAAAACACTCACTCTCTTCGAATACTTTTGAAGATAATATTCATTTCTCTAATTCATGAATCTGCTTTTCCTGTCGGATGAAAAGGAATGATGTGAAAAATACTGAGTACAACACAGAAGTTCGGTTATGCCATTCTATAAGTTAGTCCTCATGTGACATGATGGGACTTGCCTTCAATGAACGTTGTTATACTTTTCTGATTTTAAATAAGTTTTAGAACTAAGAGTTTCAAGATTTTTGACGTAAATTCTTCGAAAACATACTGTTCAGTTCCAAAAGTGCTCAAATATGTGCTGAAAATGCTATCTAAAAATCACGTTTTTCGGTCTTGTATTCTAGGTAGTTCCTAGCGACAATACATCTGTTTGGTTTCAGTTGCTTATTATGTGTACATCTGAACTTAATATAGTAATTGAAAATAATGAATTTGAATGAGTACACTATCGATGAGTTCATTAGTACGACGAGATGAGATTCACAGAAAAATGAACATATTCAATATTATGAATATAGATCTTTTATTAACAAACCTTGCTAGAATGCAGTCATTTTGACAGTAGTGAAATCTCATGGAGACATATCCTCAAAGAAAATCATCACTCTGAATTGTTCCAATTGCGCTCATTAGGTCTTGGGCAAAATCAAGATTTTGACTGAAACCACAATACTTTCAAAGTGCAATATCACAAAATATCCGATCAATTGAAGTCCTATTAGTGTGATTTTGAAGCACATACGGAACACCCTGAAGTTATGTAAGAGTTAACATGCACTCTTCAGGAATATACTTGGGTAACTTAATGAAAGATGGTCAAAACTGATCGATTAGCCGTGGAAAATATAATAGAATTAATTCGAAAATTAATAGAAAAATTGCCTGAAGTGCTATAGATTCTATTCAGCAGAAATCAGGATATAGTCTTCTATGGAGTCCCATAACGAGTCCTTTGAAGACAAAAAGAAAAAAAATCGAAAACTCCGGTAGGAAGACACGAATATTGTGTAAGAGCTTGTTCGCTTTACGGACCGCAAGGCGCACGAGAAGTTTTCAAAAAGATTTTTTTATTATTTTTAAAAGATTTTTTTATGGATTGGGATAAAAACTCAGTTATTGCTTAATACGGAATGGAATTCAATTCACATGATAAAGCTTTTTTATGAATTTTCAAACGAATCGAAGCATATTATGCTACAGCAAATCACTTATCGTTGAGTATCGTTCAGTTAGACCCGATGGATCATTCTGAAAGATTCCAGGCCAAATTTTGGATTGCTTTCTAAAGCTTAGTTTGTACGTTAAAGTCAGAGTTTCCAATGGGACTACAAAATCGTCCTATTGAACAACTCGTCTAATAAAAAGATTTCAAATCTAGAATTGATTTCTACGATCTTTTTTTTATTTAAGCATCTGAATTCATTCTGTTCTTACATGTTGCAGTTTGGCTTATTCGATATCAAATCGTTGTATTAGTCACATGTATTTTACTGATTTCTCCCGAAATCAAATAGAGAAACTAGGGTATTAGGATTTTGACAAAATTTCGAGACTACAACAGTGAAGTCATCGAAATCTATATAACATGAGCTTAATCGATTGCGTCGGAATTTATAATCTATTTTTGTTATCAGAGGATTTCATTTTCATATCTCTACACAATAGAACGCAATAAACGTTTCTTCTTTAGTGCAGTTTTTATCATGAATTATCAGTTTCTAGTTTTTTTTTGCTATATTTCCACAGCATTTAGAATTAATAGAAATTTTTTCGTATACTATGGCGCATTCTAGTGGATTTCTTTAGATATTTACGAATTCTTTTCAAAACTATAACATTTGGAGCTAGGTGTAAGCTATCAGAGTGGTTCTCGACTAATGTTTATTATTATTGCCGATTTCAACAACGATAATCGATCGGATATAGCTTTCAGTGACTTTGATTTAGGTGCTATCGGAGTCGTTCTATGATATGGAAATGGATCGTTCTCAAATCAAACGACTTTTCAACTAGTACTGATTCATTGCCGGACTCGCTTGCGGTTGGTGACTTCAATCGTGATCAGCGACAAGATATCGTTGTGATCAACTCATATGAACAATATATGCAACTTTTTCTTGGTAGTGGTGATGGAAATTTTGATTTTGCTATGAAGCGTTGGGCTACAAACACCTCTGCTCTGTCATCGGTTGCTGTCGCAGATTTTGATAATGATGGTCGTTCTGACATCGTACTTACCTCTTTCAGTGATCGTGTCATTATCATTCTACTTCAATATACTCACGAAGCATTTTCTGTCGAAAGAATTTACACAATGGAGCGTCCGTCTTTGCCCGCGTTTGTAGCCACTGCCTACTTGAATAACGATCAGAATGTCGACATTGTGGTCACCTATTTTACTTCTGATAACATAGGGATATACTATGGTTTTGGTGATGGCACATTGGCTTCGGTCATAAAATATTCAACCAAAGGCGATTCATATCCGAGTTATCTTGTCCTGTGCGATTTCAATGATGATAGTCGACTTGATATTGCTGTCGTTAATAGTGGTGCTCATAATATAGGCATTTTTCTCGCAGATGAAAACAAGTTATTTCCTGATCCACTGATGTTATCCACTGGTGAAAACTCGCATCCAAATTCTGTGGCACTTGGTGACTTGAATAATGATGGATATTTGGATATCGTTGTTGCTAATACTGATGCGAATACTATTAGAATCATGTTTAGACAACGCTATGAGTTGCCTACGAACAGCATAGAGCTCGCAACTGGGATAGACTCTCAACCGTGTTCAATCGCTATCAACGATTTCAATTCTGACAATCGATTAGACATTGTTGTGCTGCAATGTGGAACGAGCCATGTTAAATTATTCCTCGGTCACGGTGACGGTTCCTTTCTCAAGCAATTCAATCAATCGACTGGCCTCTACTCATATCCATCATCGTTGGCTATTGGTGATTTCAACAATGATCATCATTTAGATTTAGCTGTCACCAACGCTGGAACGAGTAATGTGGCCATATTTCTTGGTCATAATAATGGAACTTTCTCCGACTCAGATATCTATATGCTTGGCTTTGAAAGTAATCCAGTTTCAGTCACTATTGGTGATTTCAATAATGACAATCTAACTGACATGGTGGTAGCGAATTTTGGAAATAACAAAGTTGAAATTCTTCTTAAGACTTGCTAATACAATAGATATCAACTGTTCAAGAATTCTTTTTTTCTTCTAAGGCAAAAGGTTATAATAACTAACAAATTACATTGTTCTCACTAACACCGTAAAAATGATTTTCACATTCTTTTTAATAGATAATCGTCACAAAAATCACTTCAGTTCAAGAATAAAATGTAATTGAAATAATCATAAAATTATCGATAGATTTCTTAATTAAACTATAGATATACTTAACCATTCTAAACAAAGCATCGGGTCAGTAGGGATACTTTCAGTTTCATCTTTTGGCTATAGCTAGGCTTCAGTGAGAGTAAGAAAATTCTAGAAGCATTTGCGCTTATGGCTCTTTATTCCCGAACTATTGTCAAAACTATGTCGTAAAACACAGAATTTTTTTCATTTTTTGAAATTAACGTTCAAATGTTATCGTATTAGTTTGAAACTTACAATACGTCAAAAAAATAGTTC